CTTATTTCCTTATTTATCTTCCCTCCACTTTGATCTGTAATCGAATAAACGCATTTGTACATAACTATCGTGTACATCGATTCGGTACACAAAAGAGTCCCGAGTTTAATATCCGTTGTGACAGAAGCCGGTACGTGTCTTTCGTCTTCTTTTCCGCCTACGCTTTGATTCTCCTCTCTTATAACGAATGAGTTGTGTATATAGACGAGAAATCTTGAGCTTCAATTCATGTTAGAACTGTTTGAAACAGAATATTTGCTACCTTTGACTCCGTTGTAAAAATTTACAATTATACGAGATAGTATTTTTTACAAGATTTCATATCTTTATATAACGTTATCTTTTATAACATAGGGACAAGATGGAGAATCTGCAGCTGAAAGAAAATATGTGTCTAGTACACTTTACATATTCACTTTGATACATGCATTGTATCGAAAAATGCTATTGTTCTGTGTGCGAATGACATCTTCAAAATATATCATCTATCTCGCGTTATCTCGGTCAATTCGCTCGTGCAAGCGGCACATTGCTTTTCTCGACCGATATGCGCCAAACTTTTTACCAATTTTCGGACAGTACAACTAACCCCATTCCCATTACTTTATTGATGAACCAAGACAATCAAACAAATTTACATTTTAATGTATATTTTATATGTATATATATTTGATATATATAATATTCGCGAAATTTTTCTCTTTTATTATCCCCAGATAAAAATGAAAGATGATTAGGACTTTTTAGCACTACGATGCGCAACGATGGAATTGCAGTACACAACATTGATTTGTAAAACACAAATGTATCCAAATTATTAACGCAACGTTCAGAATAATTTACATCTTAAAAAGTGATTATTTTTGACAATTACATTTTTTTACTTGTTCTTTAAATAGATATTTAATAAAGGAACTTGTGTAACTTCCAAAAAGAATTTTTTTTTATATAAATTTCTATGAAATGTGATAAATAAAAATCTAATTCTTATATAAATAATTTAAATAATAAATTTTAAACAATATCAAAATATTTTATTTGTATATTTATATCGCGCAATGTATTAATTATTTAAATATTTTAAGTATTCAAGAAAAATAAAAAATATACTTTATATGCATTATATTACATGATGATGTAAAAATGGATTATCACTGAGATATAAACGAGCAATTAGTTTTACAAATAACAAATAAGAGATTAAATAAGTTATAAAGTACTCACTCCACGATTGCTCTCTTGCCGTCGTTCGATGTCTTTACAGGCCTCTTCCCCCTCTTCTGTCTATCCTTTGCTGCTTCTTGATGGCACTCACGTTACACTCACTCGCGAAAATATGATTAATTGCGATTAATCGGCAGAATATAGATATAGATGAACGCGCAGTATTTTGCATTTTATCGATACATTAAATGTACGCAATGTTTAATTTATTTAAAGGCGTTAGATTAATATATATTTAGATTAATATATTTAACTACGATTATTTAACACGTATCAAACGCGTGCGCGTAGGAAAACTTTGACATTTAAAAATTTTTCGATTGTTAAAAAGAACGCTTTTAATTAAGTACGTATTTAGTTACAATTATTTATACAACATAATCTGTTTTTTGAATTTAATTATTCAATTATTAAACGATCGATGTATTACGCTTTTTTGTTGCTTGACTCGATCTGTGATTTGCTTGTTTCTGCGCGTATTTCAATCCGAAAATGATAAGTAAATTAATTTAAATCAACGAAAAATTTAAAGCGCGATATAAAATATATTCGAATCCACATGCAAAGAAACAATAATCGTTCATAAATATGATAACGAAACGACAGTTTATAATTGCTATTTTTTATTCTTTTTTAATTGAATCGAAATGTATAAATAGCATGAAATATCTGCTTTGCTAAATAGCTATCGCCTTATATCATTAATCGTGTGAATTAATTATTCGCGTAACCCGATAATCTCTAATTGTAATAATCCCTTCGTATTGTCACATTATCTCGCAAACTACGATCGCGACAAGAAGATATTAAATGCAATTATTCCATATAATTATTACAATTAGCGATTATCGGATCACGCGGATAATCAACTCACGCGATCGACAATTTGTACTGTGGCGAGACAACTATTTATTAGAGTAGATATTTTGCGCGATTTGTATGTGTTTCAAGCAGACAGAGAATAAGAATTATAAATTATTTTTTTATTGCGATATATATTAAGATAATCTTTACGGACGGTAATTGTTTCTTTAACGATGCTTAGGGCGATTCGAGAATATAGTAATATACGTCAACTGTTTATTAATAAATAATTTAATATTCAAGAGACGGAATATTCCGTATACGAATTAATTTCGTAGCGAGTAATATTTCCGCGATAGTAAGGAATCTCTCGTCGCACGCGGTATTTGACCTTGCGAATATTTCGTAAAATCGTGCGATTTTCGAGTGCTTAGCATATCGTAGATTTACCTTATTTTTTTGTCGCAAATTAATAAATAAAATACATGTCGCGTAAGATTAATATCGGGGAAATGACACGCAATCGTTTGTATTCTGCTGATTAGTGCCTACAGGACGATAATTAATCGGTTTTAAGATAAAACTGTATAAAAGGTAACACACTTTCGATTTAATCGCTACTTAAATATGTTGTAGGAGAGATTTTTTTGAGTAATTCCCCGCAAGAAATAAGTGGGGGACGGCATTGGTTTAGGAGATATAACAAATTGAAATTTCACAGTTTTAATGTTTTTTCTCAGGTATCATAAAATAATAGTAGGAAAAGTAAAGTTTATGTACATTGTATTTGTTGTAGAGCAGACGAAAAAGTGTTTGTTTACATTTACTGGATAGGTACACGATCATGGATGTTTTGTCAGTAATGTGTTTCACCTATTTCTCGCAGTTCGTTAACAGCTTTCAACATGTCACTACGCGAATTTGGGAGTGAAATATATTACACCAGAACATATTTAAGTGGCAATAAAATCGGAGATGTGTTACCTTTTGTGAAGTTTTACCGGTTTTTGCGAGTGAATGTATCATGAGCACCATTAAAAACTAGCAAACAATAGAATAGACAGGAGAGGAGGAGGAGGCCCGGGGAGGCATCAGACGATGACAAAGTACAATCGTAAAGTGAGTAATATATTATTTATTTAATCTCTTATTTATTATCTGTGAAATTCATTATTCGTTTAATTTCGCGATATCAATTTTACATTATCGTGTAGTATAATGTATATATAAAATATTCTAAATTTATTTTTATCTTTCCAAGTTTTATAAAATATATTTGTCATAATTAATATTTAATGTGTGTGCTCTATAAGTATAAAATATTTTCATATTGTTTAAGATTTTTTTATTTATATTATTTATATATCAGAATTAAATTCTTGTTTTTACCGCATATATTTCGTAGAAATTTGTATATAAAAACAATTTGCTTTGAATGTTATGTGTATAAATTTTTTTATTAAATCTATCTAATCTATTTCAAAGGCAAATAAAATATTTAATTGCGCAAAATAATTATCTTTTAAAATATTAATTATTTTGAATATACTTTATATATATAATTTGGATACATTTGTATTTTACAGATCAACATTGTGCTCTGTAACACCACCGTTGCGTACCGGTGAGTGATAAATCAAATTATTTTTTATTTTCATCTGGAGATGATTTTGCGATTATAATACTAAAATGTATTGAATATATATAATATATTTAAGATATATGTAGAATAAGATGTGGGATAGGAAGGAGATTACTAGGAAAAATCTTTTTTATTTATCTATACGGTATAAAACCTTCTTCCTCTTTTTCTAAGAAGAGGAATTTATCAAGTTCTTTCTTCGGAGATCTTTTGTCTGGACATATTTACCATACTATATCTACTTCTTTGAATTCACTATACTACTCTTGAGAGTTGCCATTCACGTAGTATTTCTACTAGGATTATCTGAAATTTTTCCTACATATTTTTCTTACATACAACTATCGTTCGGAGATGTCTTGCTTGCCTCGGCCTCGTTCCTTCATCTATCTCTCTATCCATCTTTTCTCCCCCCTTTCTCTATCTCTCTCCCTCTTTCTCTTTCTCTCTCCTCTCTCATCTTTCACTCCCTACTCGCTTCGCCACCGTTTCCGTGCCGTCCATAGGGACGATTGACGTATCGATTCTAGTAGGGTGGTGCAGTCTGGCCTTCGCCACCGTGTCTGCGTGTTCCAAAAGTGCTGGCGTCGTCTGTCCCGCCATTCTTCGTCTCCCGCGCCCATTTCCACCCTATTTCTCGACCTCTTCCTCTCTCTCCTCCGACTGCCAGCTCCTTCTCGTCTCAAAATCAATGGGTCGAGTGCTCTTTCGGTCGAGCATGCGAGAATACGCGATAACGAAAGTCCGCGCGAGTGAGAGATCGAGAGATTGTCGCGACCATCGGTTTTCGTCTCGTTATCGCACGCTAATCGATCTCGCCCCTTTAATTTATCCGATAATGTTTCAACCGCTCAAATTCGATCGAATTTGCCAAAGGACGACACGACGATATGTCGAATTATTATCGATTGTAACCCCGCTGATAATGCGACGCTTCGTATCAGCAAATTGACATGTAATGAGCTGTGGACGAATTGTCGCACAGATTTCCGATATTTATTTTGCATAATAAAATAAGGTTCTCTCGTGGCAAACGAGAAATGTAGAAGCAAAATTGTACTTTACATTTTACTTTCAAAACTTATAAAATAAATTTGAAAGAAATTTCTCTTACACATATTTGCAGCTCTAGATGAAAATTGTTTAAATTTTATTCTGTTTCACAAAGTTAATCTGCAAAAAAGAAATAAACTTGATAATTTAATCTAATAATTTATTTTTACAATCTTACAATATCTTTTCGTTAATCGATTTTTAATCTTAATTGTGATATTCTTTTAATTTTATAATATTATAGATATTTTTATTTATATTACGAAATAATATAGTATAATAATCTATAGAATAAAAATGCATCTTTTCTAACATACAATATCGAAAGAAAATGGAAAGAATATTTGCTTCTACGTCTTTTAATTATCATGGTTCAAGAGCTGTATTTCTTTTCCACCTTACTTTTTGTCTTGCGACTATATTTGACATATCTCTGTCAGAAAGAAATGTCACGAAATGCGTGTTTCATAAGGTATATAAGAAATTTTGACATTGATTTAAATTATCTAGCATTACAAATTATCATGCATTATGAATCAGTCGCACTACCCTTTAATTCAACTGCTGCATCTTCTGTTTCTAAAGATGCGATAGAAAATTAATATTATTTTTTACTATTATTAATTAATTAACGTTGCAATGAAATGTTTTCGCATAAACGGAATAGATAGATCTGACTTTGACACTCGCACAAATTTTGTTCATAACTCGGAATTTATTGTAATCTCACAGAGCCACAACCTGCTGTTCGATCGTTCCCATTAGGCTGCTTCAACAGGTAGGCTGATAACTACAGCATTACGAGCATGTTTAATGTCCTTGTGAATCGCGACATCACTTCTTAACATGCTCATAAATTTGATTTTGCCGCTCGAAAATATGTTACATTGTTCAAATTCGCTATTTAAAAAAGGACGTTAATTATAAAAGGTAAATTTTTCAAAAAAAAAAAGAAGAAACTGTCTTGTAATTTTATTATTATATACTTTTTCACAAAAGTTGAAGTTATTAAAGTTACTTTTAAAAATTGAAATCTGTCAAATCTGTTAAAACATTCGAGAAAGTAAACTTAACTTTTCATTACGCGGTAACTTTATAGAAATATTTATTTTCAGTCGTATCTCGTCGCGTCCACACGGAAGGATCCTTGCATTAGTTCGTACATAGTGAATTATAATCGCACAATGTATAAGCACGAAACAACAAATCCTCTTAAAGCAGGCTTGAGGAGTAAATTCATTGCGTAGAGAGGCACGTTGATGTTGATACGGTGGACGGGTGTGGGTGGTTACAATGCGGATACAGGAAGACGTTTGCTCAGTAGCAGATAAAGCAATTTGCAATGTCTTTACAAATGGACAAGTATATCATTCCGTTCCTTTTGACGTCTATTCCTGACGCCGTTTGTCAAAGGCTACCGTATATACGAATTATCTGTTTTAAAGCTCTCGGCATACTTTCCACAATCTTTCCGTTATAAAATAGAATTAAAGTACTTTAAGCGAAGTAGTTTGCTATTCTATTAAAAAATAATTAAGCCGCAAATTGGGCATTATAATTCAATCTCCCCAATTTTTTTTCACGTTACGATGCAAAATTATTATCATAGTTTGTTAAAAAATTAAAGACTTGACAGTTGCGTATGTCGAAGCCACAAATATTTCATTAACGTTATTAAATACCTGTCGCAAAGTTCTCGATGTTATCTGAATTGAATTTGAAGTTGCGTTAATTAAATTTGAAGATGACCGCGAGTGAGTAAGGCTAGTCAACTCAAGATCAATGTTCAGATGAGCTAATAAACGTACAGATCTGTGGTCACAAAGCTATTAATTAGCTGGTCAGCTTGCGGTCACACCGTATCGTAATCATCTACGGAGGGGGGGATTAATAATATATATTTTTAACTATGAACTCTATAATCTTGAAGCAATATATTGCTTACTTTATGTAACGGAAACAAATATTTATTTTCTGAAACTTATGCAAAAACGCGATAATATATTTGTAGTTTGCGATCGCGATGCAAGGTTTGATTGGTGATTCCGTGCTCAGCGTTTGGTAAATAAATGACGTTATAAAATCTCCCTGGTGGTCGTTCATGCGAACTTATTTTTGGACGTGATCCAGAGACGCAAATCTGCAACGCCAGCTTGAATCCGAACATCGGTTTTCTTAACTCGTTTAGCATGTTCTTTATGATACTTTATCGGTATTGATCATCCCGTTTAATTCACACTTAATTTGTGGATTCAAACTTTTCTTTTATGCAGAAAACATAATTTCTGCGAATGATTTTAAAAGAGTTCTTGTCGAATCTTGCACGTGAGATTGAATTACACAATAATTAAAATAAATATTTGTTGAAATTTTGATACAATTTCTTGAGAACCTGTAATTTTAACATTCTTATTAATAATTAAATAATAATCTAAAATAATATCTGTATATTGATTTTAATCACTGTCTCTATTCCTGTTTCTTTAAAGGTTTCGCAGAAATTTCGATTGACTTTTATATAAATGATTTAAATATGATCACTTTAATCTAAAATATTATTTTACATAAAAAGATTAATATGAATATAGTCTTCTTCTTTAAGAAAAGACTTTGATACTTTCATTGTTTATTCACTTGTTAATCGATAACGATCACGCATTTTTAATCTAGGTTAATTAGGAAAGCGTGAGGAGTAATTACGAGATTCTGATCGGGGCGTGGTTAATGCCAAGCTGACCATTGTTTGACACGTCACCGCCATTATCGGCGGTTGATTAATGAAATTCTGCTAGTCCCCTCAAAGTGCTCTTCAGACAGCGTCAAGAACTTTACGACGGATCATTTAATAACGTTAATGAAATATTTGTGGCTTTGACATACGATGTTGTTCTGTTAATTATTACTGTTGGAAGCCCCACAACTTTTCTCTCCCTGATCCAGCTATCAAAAAGATGAATAGCATAACAGAGCAAGCAACATCTTTTGACAAATTGTGTTAGGATCATTAGGTTTGTTTTATATGCTAGGAAATATTCGCGTTCGTTTTGCTGACTATTTTTAAAAGGCATGACAATTTTCCTAACATCTTTTAAAGATTTTCAAATTTTTTAAGAAGCAACATTGTTTGCACGATTAAATCTTTGCTATAACTTTCTGGAAAATCAGCCTTCTTTAGTCAATTATTCACTTAATCGATTTTTAACAAACGCTTTACAGTTATCACCGTATCGTATTAGATGAAATTATACTGAATTTAAAACGATAAAGATCTCTTTTTTTTAACTCCCTTAAAAAACTTCCTTTGTAAATTATAGGTGATAGCAAGAAAGCGGAAACGTGGCAACAAAGTGGCCACGATATTACGGTTTGCGTTGCGAGAGCAATTCAACGTTAATTAAGAAGTCAATAGAAATAAGCACCAACGGATATTGGATTAATTAAGCTGCTCGGGAGAACTAGGGTGCAATTGCGGTCGCGGGTTGTCGGTTTTCTCTTATCCCTATATATCTGTATTAATACACAATACTTGGATGATTGCGTGCGAAATGTCTGACTGACCATGGTCCTTTCGTGCGATCTTAGAAAATCCAATATCCCAGGAAGATGAGATACAACTGTGCATAGGGTCTGAAGATCATCTTATACGTACAAAATCACAAAAGACAATTTTCGTGGCCTTCCGCTTTGTCATTTCGAATGGGAATAAATTTCTGTTGTACTGAGAGAATTTATAAATGTTTAATAAAAATCTTTCAACAGATTCCTTAAAACTTCCATGATTTTGTTGATACACTTGATTCTTTGTGATGAATAAAAGCAACGCAAAAAATCTACTTATTTTAAAATTTTCGATACTATATTTTTAATCATATTTTATATAATAATATTTTTTTCGTCAAATAAAATAATTTAATCAATTTTAGATTAACTTTTTTATGGTCTAATTAGAATATCACAAAATTATTGTTTAGTTATTTCAGTTTCTACAAATCATTGTACATTTCATGCATTTAATAGATTTGTTAAATGTCTAAATTTTATTACAAGAGCGAGAGGAGGGGATTAAGAGTGAGATACAGCGCTAACTTTTAGCTGTCTGATAGTGAAGAGAGAGATATTCCTTCGCAGAAAATCTTTGATTAATATGTGGGAATCGCGATTGGCACCCTCAGGATAAAATTTAGCACACGCAACATTTCCGCCAAGGTCTTTTGAGGGATACGATCTAAATGACGATAGAAAATCTCGTTTTGCCTGGACCTAGTCGGATTCGGTTTGATAGATTACGGTTGTAACATGTAATGGTAGTTATTATCGCGAAAGATGCGAGTCCCCGTAGATATGTAAGATAAGCTTTCCAAATTACATACATATAAAGATAAGAAATACAATATTAGCAAAAATATTTTGCGTTCTTTTCTATATCATACAATTTTTTGATTTAAATATTATTTGGAAGAAATCATATATGAAAGGAATTGTAAAATTAAATTGAAAATAAAGTATTTCTTTTAATTGAAAAATACAATTCTTTCAAATCTAAGAAGAAGAACACAGATAAAAGAAATGATTAAAAGAAATACTACATGTTCTTTTATATAGCTTATCGGAGAAAAGATTAGACAACTGATCTAAGAAAACGATAGTACGTACTGATTCTAGAAAATCGAAAATGAAACGTTTGATACTTGAAGCGAAAAACACCGCATTGTCTTGCATGAAGCACCAAGGTTTTAGTTTTCGAAAAGAGAAATCTCAAAATCTTCTTGACAAAGAATCCAGATAAAGACTTTATATAAATATTTGAAACATATAATATCGAATATTCTTTTGTATAAAAAAGAAAAAGAATTGTTTCAAATACATTTGAAATAAAAAGGAAACGTCTAATATCTTCTTCTATAAAATATCTGAAAGTAAAAAATATACGCGACTTGCAGAATTTATGCTTATAAAAGTCGAATGTATTTGGCTGCTTCTGACAGCAAAATGCAATTTGTATGTTAAGTGAAAATTATAAGAGCTTATTTTCAAATTTCATGATAATCGTGTTCACTCTAGATCTAGATTAACTTTAATGATGTTTATTCTTTGTCGGAAAAGTGTAATCACCTCTTGCATAGCTCGCAGCACAATTTATATAGTTCGTGGATCACATTGCTGTCAGAACTCCCGCAACATCGTTAACTCGTATCCCTGGAGAGGGATTCTCTCTCTTCTGAAGTTGCTGTATATACTATAACTCGATAATGTCATTATAATTCTGGGGAAGTGTTGCAGTATATTCGATATTGCCGTAAACATTGCAACAAATATATGTTGAGATTTTATCACACTTAATTATGAAATTAGATCGCGCAAGAAGAAGAGAAGTAACGTGATCTTTGCTTATGTTTCTCACAACTATGGAGAACTTTGCGACATACAATCTTTATTTTATAAAAATGTTATTTAAACATATTTCAGAAATAATCTTTAATTACAAAAAACTGAGTCTCTCTAACATAACAATTATATCTTCTTATATCTAAAATTATATCTCATTACTATCTTATCTCATTAAAAGTTTCCGTTTCACGGTAGCAGTATTAATGTTTTAAACGGATTTAACAAACATTTGCGATATAATCATCTTAATGTTATCAAAGATCACATCAACGCCTTGATTGCGCGTTTGTCGCCGAGCGCTCGCGAGACAAAAAGAAATCGAGTGCGAATTTTATTACCTCTTATTTCGCAATTTTCTAATTCCATTTCGCGCCTCGATAAATATTATCT